TTGCAAGTAACTGGCACTGTTACACACTTAGTCCACCACTTGGGTCACTTACACTTGGAATATGAAGAGTCAGCCCATTATGGGTCAGTCTAGTCCAAGTTATACAAGTGGTTGCCACGAGCAACATAAGGTACATTTCGCAAGCAGCCTGTCAGAACATGTGCCTGTTATAGGTAGAATTGCCTCTAGCTGCGAAGGAGATGTTGTCGGCACTCCCTACACCACATTCCGTCTCCCATAGCAACCATAATGGAACTGCACTGCAGAAGTACCCATCCTGTACAGAGGTACGGATGTTCAAGAGTTGAATTAAAGTGCACGGTCGGAACTTGCACTATGTACACGGCACTGCGGGGTTCCATGCTCTACTAGGACTGGTAGTGAGGAAATGCTGGACAGGTGGCTGTGGTCAGTGTTTGGCACTGCCCGCCTAAATGCAATCTACAGTGGGATATTGTACATTTACACGGGGACCTGAGAGTTACCTGGAGAACAGTTGTGTAAGTGTACATGGCGTATGTTCATTTCTGAGAGTGGAGGTCTGCCTTTAGGACGAGTATTACCTGATAATTACCTCAGCCTTGCTCCAGAGCATTGGTGAAAACGTCACAGAGTAACGGGTTATAAGTGTGAAATAGAGTGACCCTGTCCCAGGTGCCTAGAGTAGCCCAGAAGAAACCCATCCTTTGGTTAGGCCTCTCATGTTTCCCAAACACGGCACCCAATGAGTTAATTGGAAAACATGGAGGACATGACCATCTTCGCATCCATGCTACCCCACCTGCCCAGCTACAAGCTGTTACTGTCAGTCCTAAGCATCTCCTTTCACTGAAAACTGTTGCAGAGAAGCTGGTTGGGAGCTCTCTCTGGGTGTTGTGAGTGGGACCTTGCTTAAGATACCAGAGGAAGCCACAAGGACCATGACTGCTCTAACATTCTCAGCCTAGCTGGCTGTCCCCTCTATCTCCAGAAATACTTAAGGCTGCTGCTGAAGGACCTTGCTTGAGAGATTGTCTCTAAAGTGTGTTTTTGAAGTATCCTGCACCCTCATCCCTCTACCCACCTTTGTCCAAGTCCTGAAATAAATGTTCAAAATGACACCCTTAGACTGAGCCTGTAATGTGTCGTGTGGTCTAGAGCTGGAACCTGGACTAGTAGCTTCCGGACAGGTAAGGAGCCTGGGTTATTTCCAGTCCCTCCATTGGTTTAGTGGAACCTGGACAAAAAGTACCACAATGTAAGGGAGACCTGGGGCCTTATTTCCAGCAATCCCTCCATTGGTTTAGTGCTACATTAAAAAAAGTACCACAATGAATTACAATAGCTAGACCTTGGGGCTAGGAAATTCTGGTAACAAAAATTTGTAAAATTACCCTGGTCTCGGCCAAAAGGCCTTACCATAAGGCGTGCAAATAAGGTAAAACACCTAGAGTGTGTCGTGGCCAAGTGCAGTTTCAAACAGTTGGGTGCCAGTTTGTCCATAGTGTTGGGGTTGCCCCAAAGAGACCATTGCTGGAGAAATGCCTCTGACCTGGGACTCTATCTCTGCAGGTAAGGCGTCGGGGCAGCACATAGCCTGGTTAGGGGTAGGGACTCGGAAATTAGGGGGGACTAAAATGACTGTTTCATTGGACTTTGCACTGTTTTTAGACTTTGTAATGTTGTAATTGCACTTTAACTCACATTGCCTTCTGCCTGGTTTGAAGTCCTTGAAAGGGGCAGAGCACATTGCAAGTAACTGGCACTGTTACACACTTAGTGTACCACTTGGGTCACTTACACTTGGAATATGAAGAGTCAGCCCATTATGGGTCATTCTAGTGCAAGTTATACAAGTGGTTGCCACGAGCAACATAAGGTACATTTCGCAAGCAGCCTGCCAGAACATGTGCCTGTTATAGGTAGAATTGCCTCTAGCTGTGAAGGAGATGTTGTCCAAGTCCTGAAATAAATGTTCAAAAAGACACCTTTAGACTGAGCCTGAATGTGTCGGTGTGCTCTAGAGCTGGAATCTGGACCAGTAGCTTCTGGACAGGTAAGGGAGACCTGGGTTATTTCCAGCAACCCCTCCAATGGTAGGTGCTACATTAATAAAAAGTACCATGATAAATTACAATAGCTAGACCTTGGGGACTGGTAACAAAAATTACTCAGCTAAAAGGCCCATGAAGCGTGCAAATAAAAAAGCTAAGTTGTCAAGGCCAAGTGCAGTTTCACACAGTTGGGTGCCAGTTCCGTAGTGTTACCTCCAGGACGCCACTTGACTCTGCAGGTTCTCTGCCTTCCCAGCCCTCAGTCAGACCAGGTAGCATTGCGCAAATCAGGAGGAACTGGGCCCTTCAGAACTCTCCATACCAGGGAAGTACTACCAACCCCCACCTTACCCAGTGGGCACTTAATTTGGTTTCCTTCCAGGGGGAAGATCCTTCAGGAGCCCCATTATACAAGCATGGACACTATAGAGCCAGCAATCCCAGCTGAAAGGCCAGAATGATAGCAGGGCGCCTCTACTGGGCACTGATATTGAAAGATATGGATATTCAGGCAGCCAGTCAGTCCTGACTTCTTCCAAGCTCTGATCCCACTTCTGATCACATGACCAAACGCACCGTTAACTGCAAATATTACCAGGATTTGTTGTTTTTTTATGGTAAGGGGTTTGGATTAACATGGCTGTAGGTTTGCTTTACAATAACATGGAGAGTTCTTCTAAAGTTGTACAAATACACGGTTTGCCTGAAGCAAATTGTCGGCTTTTAAGGAATATGTACTTGCAAGATGTACAAGATAAGATGTTCCGGGAAATGTTATGTTACGGGATTACCGCTCTGTTTCGAAGCACATTTTCTGCTCACTGGGGTCATTTGACTGTGAAATGGGAATTTGAGGTTTGTACGCCGCGGAGATCGGGACTATCGCCGTCCGCAGGCGGTCAGGAAAATGAGATTTGTGAGTGTGTGCAGCTATAAACGTAAGAACGTCACATACTGTATACCGCGGGAATGTTACTTTCCATCTGTAATGTATTTATTGTTTACTGCGTCATTATCATTGGTGATCTCAGTTTGTTTGTGATGGCGTATTCAGGTGAACTAATCCCTCACAGCGTATTGGATGACTCCGAACATAAATGTAGGAAGAATCAACCAATCCACACTGTATTCCCCTTTGGGGAATCATTGCCCCAATAAGGATAATTTATTTCCTCACCTTCTAATATCAGTACATCACTTCTTTATTAGTCCATTGGTGTCCCATGGGATGTGGGATCTCCATGGGGTCCCATTGGGTGACTTGGGTGGAAAGGGGTGGGTTTCTCTTTGACCATGGTTTTTCTTTATTGGGGCCCGCTGTGCATTCTGCTCTGAACTTAAAAGCAAAAAACAAGTGGACTGGATAGAGCAGGTATGAGCACTATAATTAAATATAAAGAATAAAATTGTACTCACACTAAGATAACATGTCCATCAATATACGCTATATTATCAAAAGTATTGGGCTGCCGGCCTTTCCATGCACATGACCTTTAATGGCCCCCCAGTCTTAGTCCGTAGGGTTCAATATTGAGTTGGCCCCGCCCTTTCCACGCACATGACCTTTAATGGCCCCCCAGTCTTAGTCCGTAGGGTTCAATATTGAGTTGGCCCCGCCCTTTCCACGCCCACATGACCTTTAATGGCCCCCCAGTCTTAGTCCGTAGGGTTCAATATTGAGTTGGCCCCGCCCTTTCCACGCACATGACCTTGAATGGCCCCCCAGTCTTAGTCCGTAGGGTTCAGTATTCAGTTGTCCCCGCCCTTTGCAGCTATAACAGCTTCAACTCTTCTGGGAAGGCCGTCCACAAGGTTTAGGAGGGTGTCTATGGGAACGTTGGACCATTCTCCCAGAAGCACTGATGTCGGGGGAGGAGGCCTGGCTCGCAGTCTCTGCTCTAATTCATCCCAAAGGTGTTCTATGGGGTTGAGGTCAGGACTCTGTGCAGGTCAGTCAAGTTCCTCCACCCCAAACTGGCTCCTCCATGTCTTTATGGACCTTGCTTTGTGCACTGGTGCGCAGTCATGTTGGAACAGGAAGGGGCCATCCCCAAACTCTTCCCACAAAGTTGGGAGCATGAAATTGTCCAAAATGTCGCCTTAAGAGTTCCCTTCACTGGAACTAGGGGGCAAGCCAACCCCTGAAAAACAACCCCACACCATAATCCCTCCTCCACCAAACTTTATACTTGGCACAATGCAGTCAGGCAAGTACCATTCTCCTGGCCACCGCCAAACCCAGACACGTCCATCGGATTGCCAGACAGAGAAGAGTAATCCATCATCCCAGAGAACATATCTCCACTGCTCTAGAGTCTAGTGGCAGCGTGCTTTACACCACGGCATCTGACACTTTGCATTGCACTTGGTGATGGAAGGCTTGGATGCAGCTGCTCGGCCATGGAAACCCATTCCATGCAGCTCTCTACACACTGTTGTTGGGCTCATCTGAAGGCCACACCAAGTTTGGAGGTCTTTAGCTATTGACTCTGCAAACAGTTGGCGACTTCTGCGCACTGTGCGCTTCAGCATGCGCTGACCCCAGCCCTGTCATGTGACGTGGCCTACCACTTGGTGGCTGAGTGGCTGTTGTTCCCAGTGGCTTCCACTTTGTTATAATCCCACTAACAGTTGAGCGTGGAATATTTAGTAGCCAGGAAATGTCACGGATGGACTTATTGCCCAGGTGGCCACCTATCACGGGACCACGCTTGGAGTCACTGAGCTCCTGAGAGCGACCCATTCTTTCACCAATGTTTGTAGAAGCCGTCTGCATGCCTAGGGGCTTGATTGTATACACCTGTGTCCATGGACGGGATTGGAGCACCTGAATCACATGATTGGGAGGGGAATGGAACACCTGAATCACATGATATGGAGGGGATTGGGACACCTGAATCACATGATTGGAGGGGATTGGAACACCTGAATCACATAATTGGGAGGGGATTGGAACACCTGAATCACATGATTGGGAGGGGATTGGAACACCTGAATCACATGATTTTGGAGGGGATTGGAACACCTGAATCACATGATTTGAGGTGGTTGGGGCCAAAACTTTTGACAATATAGTGTAAGTGTATGTGATGTAGGGATCTCAGAAGGTTAGCTCTTTGGGGAACGATCTGACTGCACAGAATGTATAGTTCTTTGCAAACTCTTATCTCTGTATAAATAACTGGAGTAAATAAATACTTGTAACACGTGTAAATGTTCGGAGGGGAGAGGAGAACGCTCGCTCCATCCTGCAGTTCAAGGATTGGCTGGTTTAGTGGTGCCATGTGTTTTATTTGGACAAAGCATTTCTTCCATCGTCTCTGCCAGCACACACATACCTTCACCCCGACTGATCCAGTTCTCGCACTTTATCATATTTTTAGCAGATTTCAGGTAAACAAAGTGATATTCACCGCAGAGATCCCAATGGGTCTCCTAGCAACTGCCTAATCAACACCTTCGCAGCTTCTCTCGCTGCTTTTTCACAGTGTATTCTGATCTCACTACATACTTAAATCTCACAAAGCCCGGCTCGTTACCTTGGATGCCACCAGTCCAAAACCAGCAACAGGTGAATGTAGAAGTCACCCCGCATACAGAGCGGACTATAGGAGTCACGACTGGGGCAGCTTATACTTCTCCCACCACATTGACTATACAAAGCTGAACTCCAGGCAGATAGAAAAAAGACAAAAATGAATGTACCTCTGTGATGGTGAAGATGATGAGGGTGATGCTGATGATGGTGATAATGATGGTGGTGATGATAATAATAATGCTGAGATGATGATGGTAATGACGATGATGATGACAATGATGGTAATGACGATGATGATGACAATGATGGTAATGAAGATGGTGATGAAGATGATGATGGCGATGAAGATGATGATGATGGTGGTGGTGATAATGACGATGATGGGTGATGGGTGATAATGATGATAGTAATGATGAGATGATGATGGTAATGAATGATGGTAAACGATGATGATGATAATGGTGATGAAGATGATGATGATGAAGATGATGATGATGGTGATGATAATGAGATGATGGTGATGGGTGATTAAGGATGGTGGTGATGGTAATGACAACGATGATGATAATCGATGGATGAAGATGATGGGTGATGAAGATGATGATGATAATGACGTGATGATGAATAATGATGATAGTGATGATAATGATGAGATAATGACGACGATGAAGATGAATTGATGGTGATGATGATGATAATATGGTGGAGATGATGGTGGTGGTGATAATGACGACGATGGTGATGGGTGATAATGAAGATAGTGATGATAATAATGATGAGATGATGATGGTAATGACGACGATATGATGATGATAATGATGATGGTGATGAAGATGACGGTGGTGATGATAATGACGACGATGGTGATGGGTGATAATTATGATAGTGATGATATTAATGATGAGATGATGATGGTAATGATGACGTTGAAGATGGTGATGAAGATGATGAAGATGGTGATGAAGATGAAGACGGTGGTGATAATTAAGATGGGTGATGATGATGGTGGAGATGATAATGACGACAATGGTAATGGGTGATAATTATGATGGTGATGATAATAATGATGAGATGATGGTAATGATGATGATGGTGATGAAGATGATGGTGGTGGTGATGGTAATGATGATGGTGGTTATGATGATAAGGACGGCGATGGTAATGGGTGATAATGATGATGATAGTGGTGTTAATGAAGGTGGTGATGACACTGTGATGATAATGATGATGATGGTGATGACAATAATGATGAGATGATGATGATGTTGATGGTGATGATGTTGGTGATGAAGATGATAGTGGTGTTGGTGTCTGTGGTGATAATGGTATGATGATGATAGTGATAACGATGATGATGGTGATGATGATGATGAAGATGATGATGATGGTGGTATCTGTCCAGTTCTGTCCGATGCCCTGTGATTCTATGAGGCAGCTTTCTCCACATTTCTGATCTTGTATTGGTTTCTTGAGTTGTTTCATATTCTGTCCAGTCTAATCTTTAATAGGGTCCTACTATTGTGCACCATGTCTGAAATTATGCGTGAGGGCAGCCTGTGGCGGCCTGCGGGTCCTATAATAGGGCACCATGTCTGATATTATGCCTAAGGGTGGCCTGGGGGTCCTACTATTGGGCACCCCTGTCTTACCCCCACCATTCTCCCATCATTTGGTTTAATCATACCACCATCATTTGGTTCCATCATATTCCCTTCATTTGAATCCATATACACTCCTGTTATACCCCATCATACCCCCCTTCATTTGATTCCATGATACCCCCATCATTTAGTTCCATCATATCCCCATCATTTACTTCCATCATACCCCCATCATTAGTTCCATCATATCCCCATCATTTAGTTCCATCATACCCCCTTCATTTAGTTCCATCATAGCCCCTTCATTTAGTTCCATCATACTCCCATTCATTTAATTTCCATCATACCCCATCATTTAGTTCCATCATACCCCATCATTTAGTTCCATCATACCCCCATCATTTAGTTCCATCATACCCCCTTCATTTGACTCCATCATACCCCCATCATTTGATTGCATCATACCCCCTTCACTTGATTCCATCATACCCCCCTTCACCCATACCCCCATCATTTAGTTCTATTGTATCCCCATCATTTAGTTCCATCATACCCCCATCATTTAATTCGATCATACCCCCTTCACTTGATTCCATCATACCCCCTTCACTTAATTCCATCATACCCCCATCATTTAGTTCTATTGTATCCCCATCATTTGATTCCATTTACACCCCTGTCATACCCCCATCATTTGGTTCCATCATACCCCCATCATTTGATTCCATCGTACCCCCATCATTTACTTCCATCATATCCCCATCATATGGTTTCCATCATATCTCATTCATTTGATTCCATTTACACCCCTGTCATACCCCCATCATTCTCCAATCATTTGGTTCCATCATACCACCATCATTTGGGTTCCATCATATCCCCTTCATTTGATTCCATATACACTCCTGTCATACCCCCATCATTTGGTTCCATCATTCCACCATCATTTGATTCATTTTATACCACTGTCATACCCCCATCATACGCTTCCATCATATCCTCATTGTTTGGTTCCCTCGTAACCAGGTCATAACCCCATTATTTGGTTCCATCATACCCCTATCATTTGATTCCATCATGTTCGCTAGCACAGCATGGAACTCGATATGATCCAAAAAGGTTTTATTCAAAAAGATCACACCACAAAGAAACGTGCAACATTTTGGAGCTGCGCAGGACCCCTTCTTCAGTCATGTGATAAGGGTACCGTAGTGACAATACAGACTATGTATACATAAACCATCAATCAAAACCAAAAACATATCATATCCTCACCCCCCCCCCCCCCCCCCATCTGGCATCCCATGATGTCACAATCCCGCCAAAATGTGTAAAATAGAGGAACTAGAGACAGTATTATATGTATATATATCTCCATGCACTCAAAATTATCTAGCAGGTACATGTTTATCAGGCACATTAGCCAGAATTCTTTCCCATGCAGACTGTCTCACTGGGCAAAGCCCTTTCCCCCGTTTATCAGCACAGAGAGAGAGGCAGAGCTCAGTAGAAAGTGCGGGAAACCAGGTAACTAGTTCCCTCCCAGCTGGGGCAGCAGCTATCTCACTAACCAGCAGTTCAACCAGCCTACAAGTTCCATTGTACTCCCATCATTTAGTTCCATCATACCCCCATCATTTAGTTCCATCATACCCCCATCATTTAGTTCCATCATACCCCCATCATTTAGTTCCATCATACCCCCATCATTTAGTTCCATAATACCCCCATCATTTAGTTCCATCATATCCCCATCATTTAGTTCCATCATACCCCCATCATTTAGTTCCATCATACCCCCATCATTTAGTTCCATCATACCCCCATCATTTAGTTCCATCATATCCCCATCATTTACTTCCATCATACCCCCATCATTTAGTTCCATCATATCCCCATCATTTAGTTCCATCATACCCCCTTCATTTAGTTCCATCATAGCCCCTTCATTTAGTTCCATCATACTCCCATCATTTAATTCCATCATACCCCATCATTTAGTTCCATCATACCCCATCATTTAGTTCCATCATACCCCCATCATTTAGTTCCATCATACCCCCTTCATTTGACTCCATCATACCCCCATCATTTGATTGCATCATACCCCCTTCACTTGATTCCACCCCCTTGATTCCATCATACCCCCATCATTTAGTTCTATTGTATCCCCATCATTTAGTTCCATCATACCCCCATCATTTAATTCGATCATACCCCCTTCACTTGATTCCATCATACCCCCTTCACTTAATTCCATCATACCCCCATCATTTAGTTCTATTGTATCCCCATCATTTGATTCCATTTACACCCCCTGTCATACCCCCATCATTTGGTTCCATCATACCCCCATCATTTGATTCCATCGTACCCCCCATCATTTACTTCCATCATATCCCCATCATATGGTTCCATCATATCTCATTCATTTGATTCCATTTACACCCCTGTCATACCCCCATCATTCTCCAATCATTTGGTTCCATCATACCACCATCATTTGGTTCCATCATATCCCCTTCATTTGATTCCATATACACTCCTGTCATACCCCCATCATTTGGTTCCATCATTCCACCATCATTTGATTCATTTTATACCACTGTCATACCCCCATCATACGCTTCCATCATATCCTCATTGTTTGGTTCCCTCGTAACCAGGTCATAACCCCATTATTTGGTTCCATCATACCCTATCATTTGATTCCATCATGTTCGCTAGCACAGCATGGAACTCGATATGATCCAAAAAGGTTTTTATTCCAAAAAGATCACACCACAAAGAAACGTGCAACATTTTGGAGCTGCGCAGGACCCCTTCTTCAGTCATGTGATAAGGGTACCGTAGTGACAATACAGACTATGTAATACATAAACCATCAATCAAAACCAAAAACATATCCTCACCCCCCCCCCCCATCTGGCATCCCATGATGTCACAATCCCGCCAAAATGTGTAAAATAGAGGAACTAGAGACAGTATTATATGTATATATATCTCCATGCACTCAAAATTATCTAGCAGGTACATGTTTATCAGGCACATTAGCCAGAATTCTTTCCCATGCAGACTGTCTCACTGGGCAAAGCCCTTTCCCCCCTTTTATCAGCACAGAGAGAGAGGCAGAGCTCAGTAGAAAGTGCGGGAAACCAGGTAACTAGTTCCCTCCCAGCTGGGGCAGCAGCTATCTCACTAACCAGCAGTTCAACCAGCCTACAAGTTCCATTGTACTCCCATCATTTAGTTCCATCATACCCCCATCATTTAGTTCCATCATACCCCCATCATTTAGTTCCATCATACCCCATCATTTAGTTCCATCATACCCCCATCATTTAGTTCCATAATACCCCCATCATTTAGTTCCATCATACCCCCATCATTTAGTTCCATCATACCCCATCATTTAGTTCCATCATACCCCCATCATTTAGTTCCATCATACTCCCATCATTTAGTTCCATCATATCCCCATCATTTAGTTCCATCATACCCCCATCATTTAGTTCCATCATACCCCCATCATTTAGTTCCATCATACCCCCATCATTTAGTTCCATCATACCCCCATCATTTAGTTCCATAATACCCCCTATCATTTAGTTCCATCATACCCCCATCATTTAGTTCCATCATACCCCCATCATTTAGTTCCATCATACCCCCATCATTTAGTTCCATAATACCCCCATCATTTAGTTCCATCATACCCCCATCATTTAGTTCCATCATACCCCCATCATTTAGTTCCATCATACCCCCATCATTTAGTTCCATCATACCCCAATCATTTAGTTCCATCATACCCCCATCATTTAGTTCCATCATACCCCAATCATTTAGTTCCATAATACCCCCATCATTTAGTTCCATCATACCCCAATCATTTAGTTCCATAATACCCCCATCATTTAGTTCCATCATACCCCCATCATTTAGTTCCATCATACCCCAATCATTTAGTTCCATCATACCCCCATCATTTAGTTCCATCATACCCCAATCATTTAGTTCCATAATACCCCCATCATTTAGTTCCATCATACCCCAATCATTTAGTTCCATAATACCCCCATCATTTAGTTCCATCATACCCCCATCATTTAGTTCCATCATACTCCCCCATCATTTAGTTCCATAATACCCCCATCATTTAGTTCCATAATACCCCCATCATTTAGTTCCATCATACCCCAATCATTTAGTTCCATCATACCCTCATCATTTAGTTCCATCATACCCCCATCATTTAGTTCCATCATACCCCCATCTTCATATAGTCTTTGTGTTCTGTGTTACTATCCTCCGTGTGGCCAGCTTCTATGGACATGTGCTGTTGGCATATTGTCTCTTAGTAAAAGTAGAACATAGTTTGCTTCTATGCTATACGTTTTTATGACGTGTACAATTCTTGATTCCACAATTAAAGTCCCTTTGTTTTACAATCTGTACCATGCAATATCATTAATGTGACTTCTCTGCCCACAATGTACCCCGGCTGACCGGTGGAGCTGTCCTCCCTGCGGAGACACAATAATATGTAGAGACATTTCCATCCCGACATATGAAAACTATTAAAGGTCACATGCAATGGGCCAGGTGAGGGCAGCTTGTTAATGTTTACAAAGTTACTTTTTTTATTACATATTTTATTTAATGAAACAGTTTTTGTTCCTGACAAACACATATACCAGAGAAAAACAAAAAACATAAAAAACACTAAAAATACCAAACTAAACTCAGCATTACATATATGAAACATTGCACCTTCTAACCTCTTCCAAATCATCCGCTCAAAAATAGTTTAAACAAAAATATATAATAACTTCATCATCATGCAAATGATTTCCTTTCAGTTCTTTACTGCAGTACAGAGATGGTATAATAATAGAAGGATTCTTCACCTTTTTACAATTACAGATCCCCAACAGATCAACCAATATGTCCTCCAAAGACCCTTCACCAGACTCTCCAAACCACCATCATCACCAGTCCTATTGAGTTCCAGTAGGACTCCACACCGTGTCCCAAGCTTGGTTTTACTTTCCATATGAAAAGGTTGGAAGAGAAGAGCTGAAAGAGAACCATCCAGGTATTTATAGTTTTCCTTGTGTGTAATATAAAGATGATATGGAGTTCCAGATACTGAGATTGGTCATCCATGTCATCTACCACATCAAGTCCAATTCTTTACTATCACGTCAGATTCAATAACAGGAGAGTGAGAATTCTGTTGATTTTTTTTCCCATTATTCCCAGATCCAGTCCCATGGTCACGTACCTGGTGGGGGAGCCTGACGGGAAGATGAGGGTGTCCTCTTACACCTCCTGCTTGGTGCTTCTGATAGAGTAGACAGAGAACACGAGAGCCAGGAGTGGCACGAGTGTCTGGCAAGTCTGCGATGTCAGCCGACAGGTAGGTAGTTCGGATGACCAGGATGCAGGTCGGTTGCGGAGGCAGGTGAGTGGAGGATGCAGGTCGGTTGCGGAGGCAGGTGAGCGGAGGATGCAGGTCGGTTACGGAGGCAGGTGAGCGGAGGATGCAGGTCGGTTACGGAGGCAGGTGAGCGGAGGATGCAGGTCAGAAGGAGCAGCCGCTGGCAGGTTCTAGCAGGACCTCGGTAACTGACGTCAGCAAGGCACAGGCTGGAGAAGAAGCAGAGTCAGACAAGTCGGGTCGGGATGTATCAGGTGGATCAGGTACAGGGAGCAGGCAAGGGATAGTCGAAGTTCAGGCCAGAAGTCAGTAACCATAGGCAGATAGCAGGGGGAGCAGGCAGCGTAGTCAGGATCAAATTGGGTTGGTGTAGGCGGAGTTCAAGCAAAGTCAGGACAGGTCAGGTCGGCAACAGGATCAGGATACAACAGAGAGCAGATATGGGAACGTGGTAGGCCAGAAGGCAAGGATTCCAAGTGCAGCAGCAGTTTGAATAGCCCGCCTGGCACCAATCCACACGAGCACGGCCGTCAGGTAACCGGCACTGGCGCATAAATGTGCGCCTTGGTATTCTCCGGTTTCCCTGACACCCATCATAGCCCAATCATCCCCCCATCATTTAGTTCCATCATACCCCCATCATTGAGTTCCATCATAGCCCCATCATTTAGTTCCATCATATCCCCATCATTTAGTTCCATCATACCCCATCATTTAGTTCCATAATATAGTTCCATCATACCCCCATCATTTAGTTCCATCATCCCCCCATCATTTAGTTCCATCATACCCATAATAATATAGTTCCATCGTACCCCCATCATTTAGTTCCATCATCCCCCCATCATTTAGTTCCATCGTACCCCCATCATTTAGTTCCATCATTTAGTTCCATCGTTCCCCCATCATTTAGTTCCATCATACCCCCATCATTTAGTTCCATCATACCCCCATCATTTAGTTGCATCGTACCCCCATCATTTAGTTCCATCATACCCCCATCATTTAGTTCCATTGTACTCCCATCATTTAGTTCCATCATATCACCATCATTTATTTCCATTGTACCCCCATCATTTAGTTCCATCATATCCCCATCATTTAGTTCCATCATACCTCCTTCATTTGGTTCCATCATTCCCCTATAATTTGGTTCCATTTATACCCTAGTCATGCTAGTTCATGTTGGAACAGGAAGGGACCATCCCCAAACTCTTCCCACAAAGTTGGGAGCATGAAATTGTCCAAAATGTCTTGGTATGCTGACAGCTTAAGAGTTCCCTTGACTGGAACTAGGGGGCCAAGCCCAACCCCTGAAAAACAACCCCACACCATAATCCCCCCTCCACCAAACTTTACACTTGGCACAATGCAGCCAGGCAAGTACCGTTCTCCTGGCCACCACCAAACCCAGACACGTTCATTGGATTGGCAGACAGAGAAGCGTGATTGGTCACTCCAAAGAACACGTCTCCCCTGCTAGAGTCCAGTGGCGGCGTGCTTTACACCACGGCATCCGACGCTTTGCATTGCACTTGGTGATGGAAGGCTTGGATGCAGCTGCTCGGCCATGGAAACCCATTCCATGAAGCTCTCTACGCACTGTTGTTGGGCTCATCTGAAGGCCACACCAAGTTTGGAGGTCTTTAGCTATTAACTCTGCAGACAGTTGGCAACTTCTGCGCACTGTGCGCTTCAGCATGTGCTGACCCCGCCCTGTCATGTGACATGGCCTACCACTTGGTGGCTGAGTTGCTGTTGTTCCCAGTTGCTTCCACTTTGTTATAATCCCACTAACAGTTGAGCGTGGAATATTTAGTAGCCAGGAAATGTCCCGGATGGACTTATTGCCCAGGTGGCCACCTATCACGGGACCACGCTTGGAGTCACCGAGCTCCTGAGAGCGACCCATTCTTTCACCAATGTTTGTAGAAGCAGTCTGCATGCCTAGGGGCTTGATTGTATACACCTGTGTCCATGGAGGGGATTGGAACACCTGAATCACATGATATGGAGGGGATTGGAACACCTGAATCACATGATTAGGAGGGGATTGGAACATCTGAATCACATGATATGGAGGGGATTGGAACACCAGAATCACATGATATGGAGGGGATTGGAACACCTGAATAACATGATATGGAGGGGATTGGAACACCTGAATCACATGATATGGAGGGGATTGAAACACCAGAATCACATGATATGGAGGGGATTGGAACACCTGAATCACATGATATGGAGGGGATTGGAACACCAGAATCACATGATATGGAGGGGATTGGAACACCTGAATCACATGATATGGAGGGGATTGGAACACCTGAATCACATGATATGGAGGGGATTGAAACACCTGAATCACATGATTGGGAGGGGATTGGAACACCTGAATCACATGATTGGGAGGGGATTGGAACACCTGAATCACATGATTGGGAGGGGATTGGAACACCTGAATCACATGATTGGGAGGGGATTGGAACACCTGAATCACATGATATGGAGGGGATTGGAACACCTGAATCACATGATTGGGAGGGCTGACAATATAGTGTATATATATTCTAATAGAATAGAATGGCATAGAATAGAAAGAATATTCAGAAAGTCAGAAAAGAATAGAATAAAACAGAATAGAATATAAAATAATGGAATATAAAATAAAAGAATAGAATAGAATAGAATATAACCGTCTCCTTAAATTTGAATTTCGAATAGAATAGAGCCAGCTAATCTTCACAATGAATTTGAATCGATTCAACATTTTTGATTCAAATTCATTTCTAATACTTCGAATTGGAAAAATTCAAATCCGGTCGAAAACGAATAAACGAAACAAATTTTGTTACGAATGCAACAAAGCGAAATTAGTAGCTTAACAAATCGATCCGAAACTAAACAAATTTTTTTCATTCTGCACATGTCCACTGTACAGAAAAGCAGGAGATGCAGCTAAAACCAAGTTCCCGTAATGGCCACCACAAACGGAGCAATTACAAGGGCCTTCAGGAAAGGAGAGAACGGCGCACAGGGCGTCTCTAGGGCCCTGAGTTTAGGTCAGCACTCAGAATGCCATAGGATCGCTGGTTACCTCCTTTCTGATATCCTCCGGACACTCTTCAGTAAGGGAGAAAAAAAGGCCCACAATGCCACAGACAGCTGGATTCCTCCTTCCTCCTTCCACCGAGCACTCTTTAGTAAGCTCTCCAGACCAAAATCCCAGATGAAACCCTTCCAACTGTGCCACAGCTGGGGCCTCATTGAGCGATCCAGCAAACTGCCCTTAGGGGCAGAGGCCCCTCAGGCACAGGATTCCTTCTGCAGGACTGGACCCATGACTAACTCAACTCCTGCTCTGGGCCTCAGACTATTTATGGGCTCTCCAGCCACCTATTAGGCGCACCTACCCAGGGATTGGATGGGTCCCCATAAATATCCAGACTTCCTCTCCTCCTACTATAATTCCATAATTATTATTATTATACAGGATTTATGGCGCCAACAGTTTGCTCAGCGCTTTACAATATAAAGGGAGACAATACAGCAACAATACAGTTCAATAAAAGAGGGATAAGAGGGCCCTGATCCTAGGAGCTTACAATCTAAGAGGGAGGGGCTAGTTGTACAAAAGGTGGTAACTGTGGGGGATGGGCTGGTAGGAGGAATAGAAGATTCCATTATTAGCTGAGGGCAGAATAGGCTTCCCTGAAGAGATCGGTTTTCAGAGATCGCCTAAAAGTGAGCAGAGTAGGCAATAGTCTGATAGATTGGGGTAGAGGGTTCCAGAGGATGGGGGAAAGCTCTTGAGAAATCTTGGAGACGAGCATGAGAGGAGGAGACAAGGGAGCAAGAGAGCAGGAGGTCGTGCGAGGAGCGGAGAGGGACGGTTTGGGTGATATTTGGAGACAAGATTGGTGATGTAATTGGGGGGCGGAGTTATAAATGGCTTTATATGTGATTGTTAATGTCTTGAATTTTATCCGTTGGGCAATGGGAAGTCAATGGAGGGATTGGCAGAGAGGGGTGGAGGCAGGGGCGGACTGACAACTCATGGGGCCCCCGGGCAATAGGGGATCATGGGGCCCCTGTGTCTTTGCCCAAACTCAAAAAAAGCATATAAAAAAGGTACCAGGGGCATCTCATGGGGCCCCCTACTGACCCTGGGCCCTCGGACAGTACCCGAGTTTCCAAATGATCAGTCCGCCCCTGGGTGGAGGACACTGAGTGGAGGCTAGTGGAGGGATTGGCAGAGAGGGGTGGAGGACACTGAGTGGAGGCTAGTGGAGGGATTGGCAGAGAGGGGTGGAGGACACTGAGTGGAGGCTAGTGGAGGGATTGGCAGAGAGGGGTGGAGGACACTGAATGGAGGCCAGTGGAGGGATGATAGAAAGGGGCAGAGGACACTGAATGGAGGTCAGTGGAGGGATTGGCAGAGAAGAGTGGAGGACACTGAGTGGAGGCCAGTGGAGGGATTGGCAGAGAGGGGTGGAGGACACTGGGGGCCAGTGGAGGGATTGGCAGAGAGGGATGGAGGACACTGAATGGAGGACAGTGGAGGGATTGGCAGAGAGGGGTGGAGGACACTGAGTGGAGGCCAGTGGAGGGATTGGCAGAGAGGGGTGGAGGACACTGAATGGAGGCCAGCGGAGGGATTGGCAGAGAGGGGTGGAGGACACTGAATGGAGGCCAGCGGAGGGATTGGCAGAGAGGGGTGGAGGACACTGAATGGAGGCCAGCGGAGGGATTGGTAGAGAGGGGTGGAGGACACTGAGTGGAGGTCAGTGGAGGTATTGGCAGAGAGGGGTGGAGGACACTGAGTGGAGGTCAGTGGAGGGATTGGCAGAGAGGGGTGGAGGACACTGAGTGGAGGCCAGTGGAGGGATTGGCAGAGAGGGGTTGAGGACACTGAATGGAGGTCAGTGGAGGGATTGGCAGAGAGGGGTGGAGGACACTGAATGGAGGCCAGTGGAGGGATTGGCAGAAAGGGGTGGAGGACACTGAATGGAGGTCAGTGGAGGGATTGGTAGAGAGGGGGTGGAGGACACTGAATGGAGGTCAGTGGAGGGATTGGCAGAGAGGGGTGGAGGACACTGAGTGGAGGTCAGTGGAGGTATTGGCAGAGAGGGGTGGAGGACACTGAGTGGAGGTCAGTGGAGGGATTGGCAGAGAGGGGTGGAGGACACTGAGTGGAGGCCAGTGGAGGGCTTGGCAGAGAGGGGTGGAGGACACTGAATGGAGGTCAGTGGAGGGATTGGCAGAGAGGGGTGGAGGACACTGAATGGAGGCCAGTGGAGGGATTGGCAGAAAGGGGTGGAGGACACTGAATGGAGGTCAGTGGAGGGATTGGTAGAGAGGGATGGAGGACACTGAGTGGAGGTCAGTGGAGGGATTGGCAGAGAGGGATGGCAGATATGGAACAGTTAGTAAGGTGGATGAGTCTGGCAGCAGAATTCATGATAGACTGAAGAGGGGACAGCCTGCGATGAGGTCGGCCAATAAGGAGGGAGTTACAATAGTCAAGGCGAGAGATAACCAGGGAGGGAATAAGTTCCTTAGTGGTTTCCAAGGTTACAAACGGGTGTATCTTGGAGATGTTGCGGAGGTTGGAGATGTTGTGGAGGTGAAGTAGATAATCCTTTAGAACGCAGGGGGAAATAATCGGAAGAGCCGCCTGCAAAGCACTGAGCAGGCTAAAGCAATCAACAACTGCTCCACAGGCTCCAGAGCAACCAAACTAAAATGGCCTAGCATCCTACAGGGTGGTGGGCAACTAGGAGGGTGCTGCACTTCAGGACTCCACCAACCACTAAACGTGGTAGAGACTGGGTTTACACCTATTTTACACCATTCTTGTTGAGGATCTGACCTCAAGTGTCGGCGGGTCTTTTCCAGAAGTCGAAGGTCCTGCTCAGAAGTTAATGTTGAACCCACCTTGTATTCCGAAATCTGGTTTGGAATGTTGTCTCCTGGCTTTGAGCATCCTGGGTTGGTCCTGACACTGCCGCAGAAAAGACGGGCAGTCCTGCTAGGAGGTGATAGACGGCTTATCACTGCAGAGCAGAGCCACGTACCGAGGTGAGCTCCCTCCCGCCTAGTCCCCCTTGTCCTGGATTTACACCGCGCCGGCAAGTCGAATTACGCCGGCTCCGGTTTGGAAAGGCTCTCCGGCCGCCCGCCTGTCGCCGATAAGCTGTAATAATCACCTGCAATTTTATTCCGCTTGTATGTCATTTTCTCCGAAACAAAAAAAGCAGCTCAGTCACCGCGCTAAATGGGAGTTCAACACATCAATGACCCGGCCGGCGCTGCCAAAAAATTTAATTGGAAACTTCCAAAGGATTCTGTTTTGTTCCGCTGAAATCCTCGGCAGCCTCCCTCCCTCTCTCTCTCTTTTTCATTATTATCACTTGAAAAGAATTTATTTAAAGGTCACAAAAAATCTGCGAGCGTTCGTCACCGCCCGGCTCTTGTCAAGTCTTCAGCCTTGTTGGATCCGCCATTAAAAGGCGGTGTTTGGGTGGAATTGTACAAACATAATTATCAAAACGCTTCTTGAAAGCCGCAATTTGTAGACAAGAAAACCTCCGAAAAAGATTCCATCCCCGCTAAAGAATCTGACGGCGAGTTATTTGGGGATGAGACGGGGATGGGCGGTCTATAAATAAAATGTATTTCCTCTATACACGGAATTCTCCAGATCTTCCTCTGTTGGGATTGGAACCAGATGTGGTGCAGACCTCTCCAAGCTGGCCCGCTGTTTTGTCCCAGGTTCCTTTGGGTGCAATTGCCCAGTCTCCATACACAGAATTCTCCGGATCTTCCTCTGTTGGGATTGGAACCAGATGTGGTGCAGACCCCCCCAAGCTGGCCTTATTGTTTTGTCCCAGGTTCCTTTGGGTGCAATTGCCCAGTCTCCATACACAGAATTCTCCGGATCTTCCTCTATTGGGATAGGAACCAGATGTGGTGCAGACCTCCCCAAGCTGGCCTCATTGTTTTGTCTCAGGTTCCTTTGGGTGCAATTTCCCAGTCTCCATACACGGAATTCTCCGGATCTTCCTCTGTTGGGATTGGAACCAGATGTGGTGCAGACCCCCCCAAGCTGGCCCTACTGTTTTGTCCCAGGTTCCTTTAGGTGCAATTTCCCAGTCTCTTGGCACTACAACCAGGCAGCGGGTGTCTTTTTGGAGTTTGTTGCTGGTTAGACTTGGTTGGGGGTGTGGAGCGAGCCTTGGGATGCTACTCTTTGGTAGTAGCTAACCTCTTCAAGGTGGACCTCTTGTGATAGGAGATTGTGGACATACAGCTCAGGGGACTCCCACTTTGGAAGCAACCCTGAGCCAGCAACTCTACCAACCAGATGTGGTGCAGACCCCTCAAGCTGGCCCATTGTTTTGTCCCAGGTTCCTTTGGGTGCAATTTCCCAGTCTCCATATACGAATTCTCCGGATCTTCCTCTGTTGGGATTGAAACCAGATGTGGTGCAGATCCCCCCAAGCTGGCCCCGTTGTTTTTGTCCCAGGTTCCTTTGGGTGCAATTTTCCAGTCTCTTGGCACTATCACCAGGCAGCGGATGTCTTTTTGGAGTTTATTGTTGGTTAGATTTGGTTGGGGTTGTGAGGCGAGCCTTGGGATGCTACTCTTTGGTAGTAGCTAACCTCTTCAAGGTGGACCTCTTGTGATAGGAGATTGTGGACATACAGCTCAGGGGACTCCCACTTTGGAAGCAGCCCTGAGCCAGCAACTCTGGAACATTCTCTCTCAGGATTAAAGGACAACTGTCACTAGGATCTCTCTCTCAGGCCTCGCCGTGGACATGGATGCCTCCTTGCAGTACTAGCCAGACCCCGTACCTTGAGCCTCCAGGCCAGATCCTCAGCAGAGTTTCTCCCAGAAGCTTTACAGATAGGCTCCCCAGCTATCCCTGAGCTGGGACTTCAATGAAACTCCTGCAGTCATCAGCTGACTTGCCCAGAAGGGCAACAGCCCCTCAGGCTGGGTCTTCTCCTCCGCGCGCAATTCCAGGCCCAAGATATTTATACACACCCCAGTCCCCTGCCGGCCACGCCCCTGACCAGGGATTGGGTGAGGCTGTTTGTCACCGCCCGGCTCTTGTCAAGTCTTCAGCCTTGTTGGATGCGTCATTTAAAAGGCCGTGTTTGGGGGGAATTGTACAAACATAATTATCAAAATGTTTCTTGAAAGCCGCAATTTGTAGACAAGAAAACCTGTCCGAAAAACATTCCATCCCAGCTGAAAAGTCTGACGGCGGGTTATTTGGGGATGAGACAGGGAATGGGGCGGTCTATAAATAGAACGTATATCTTTCTATTCATGGAATTCTCCGGATCTTCCTCTGCTGGGATAGGAACCAGATGTGGTGCAGACCCCAAGCTGACCCCGCTGTTTTGTCCCAGGTTCCTTTGGGTGCAATTTCCCAGTCTCTTGGCACTACAACCAGGCAGCGGGTGTCTTTTTGGAGTTTATTGCTGGTTAGACTTTGTTGGGGTTGTGGGGCGAGCCTTGGGATGCTACTCTTTTGGTAGTAGTTAACCTCTTCAAGGTGGACCTCTTGTGATAGGAGATTGTGGACATACAGCTCAGGGGACTCCCACTTTGGAAGCAGTCCGGAGCCAGCGACTCTGGAACATTCTCTCTCAGGGTTAAAGGACAACAGTCAATAGGATCTCTCTCAGGCCTCCCTGTGGATGCCTCCTTCCAGTACACAGCCAGACCCCATACCATGGGCCTCCAGGCCAGATCCTCAGCAGAGGTTCTCCCAGAAGAGCTTTACAGATAGGCTCTCCCTGAGCTGGGACTTCAATGAAACTCCTGCAGTCATCAGCTGACTTGTCCAGAAGAGCAAACAGCCCCTCAGGCTGGGTCTCCTCCTCGTTTATTCCAGGCCCCAGATATTTATACACACCCCAACAGTCCCCTGCCGGCCTGGGATTGGCTGAGGCTGTATGAATATTTAGGGTCTTCCTCTTCAATTATATTCGGGGGAGGGGGGGGGGGCGGGCGCTACACAGAAATGATACAACTGTGCAAATGCCAAGTGGTAGGTCAGGGTGTCCATCTCCCAGCACCGCGCCTTCTACATGACCAGATTACAGAGAGGCCATATCCCTGCTCAGGCGTGTGCTGCTGAACACGGCTCTCTGGATGCCGACTCTCTCAATGTCCAAATCCGACTATATTATTTATTAATCCGATCCAATCCAAAATATTATATATTAATCCCAATCCAATCCAACATAAATTATTTATTAAAAAATCCAATCCAATCCAACATATTACTTTTTAATCCAATCCAAATCCAACATATTATTTATTAATCCAATCCAATCCAACATTGTTATTTATTAATCCGATCCGATCCAATCCAAACATATTACTTATTAATCCAATCCAATCCAACATATTACTTATTAACCACTTGAGCTCCAGAGGATTTACCCCCCTTAATGACCACGCCTTTTTTTGCTGTTTGGCGCTGCACTAATTCAAATGATAATTTTGCGCGGTCATGCAACGCTGCACCCAAACGAAAAAATTTAAGTCCTTTTTTCACACAAATAGAGCTTTCTTTTGGTGGTATTTTATCATCTGCCGCGACGCTTTTTATTTTTTTGCGCTATAAACAAAAAAAAACACGAAAATTTTGAAAAAAAACAAATTTTTCTACTTTCAGCTATAAAAAATATTATATCGTAAACCTCAAAGTTAGTCATAAATTTAAGCCAAAAATATTCTGCTCCATGTTTTGGTAAAAAAAATCCCGTGCATTAGCGGGCAAACTGGCGCTATCTGGGAGGGGGCGCTAAACACTATCTCGGAAGTCACCAGTGACACTGATACAGTGGATCAGTAAAAATCTGTTCACTGTAATCAATGACACTGGTGACAGGGCAGTGAAGGGGGTTAACTGAGGGGGGGGGGCGATCAAGGGGTTAAATGGGATTACTGGTGTACTAGCCGGCAAACTGGCGCTATCTGGGAGGGGCGCTAACACTATCGGAAGTTGCCTAGCGACAATGATACAGTGATCAGTAAAAATTGGTTCACTGATCAATGGACACTGGTGACAGGGCAGTGAAGTGGGGTCAACTCGGCAGGGGGCGATCAAGGGGTTTTTAAAACGGGTACTACTGGTGTATTAGCGGGCAATCTGGCGCTATCTGGGAAGGGGCGCTAACACTATCGGACGTCGCCAGCGACACTGATACAGTGATCATTAAAAAATCGCTTCACTGATCAGTGGACACTGGTTGACAGGGCAGTGAAGGGGTTAACTGGGGGGGGGGGGGGGCGATCAGGGGGTTGAATGTGTTCCTCTAGAGTGTTCTAACTGTCAGTGTGCTGTTTTACTCACGTTTAAATGTTTCTTCTTCTCTGTCTGGAACGGAA